AAAGATAATTCCTACTAGACAAATATCATTTAATAAATATTATTGATTTCATAAAAAATTATTTATATCGAAAAATCAAGAATAATTCAAGAACCAATCTGCAATTTTCAAAATTGAAATCGGATCCCACATGCGCCCTTACGTGCAAGATCAATCTGCATTTATTTTTATAAATTAATAAAAAATGGGGCTGCGTCAGCGCCGCCACGTTGTTCTCAAAATTTTATTTTTTTGATTGGTCATTTTGACTAATTTCGATGTTCTAAGTTCATCTATGTGTCAGGTTTTAAAAAAATCAATTTTTAAGACCATCTATGGGACATCAACAGATTCATCTGAGAGTAAAAAATGGCAAAAAATTCATGCAAAATTTTTAGATTTTTTTATCAAATTTCGAGAAGTCATAGCTTCTTCATTTCAAGCCCAAAATTAGTAATCTTTATACCTTCGAATTTTTTTTCGAGAAGACCTATCCAACTATACCAAATGGGAATCATGAAACAAAGCGTATGAGAAGTTATCATGTGATGAAATTTCGGATTTAACTCGACAATAGACTAAAGACGCTTATGATCTCATATAAAGTGGGTTTCTAACTCTTGAATCCAGCATTCATACAAGATTCAATATGTATAGTATTGACACGTAAACAACACAAAGAAGAACATATTCAAGTGTAATATACTTCGACTCAACTACTGGTTTAAACCTTATGATTGAAATACATGAACTTTTATAGCATTGGTCCTCTACCAAAACCACTCTCACATACTTCTATCTAATATGTTCTTCTTGGTCCCTTTACAAGTCTTCTCATCTATCTTGCATTTATTTTAGCTCATTTAACACTTAAGATCTGAAGTCTTATGCAAGCTAGAACATTGCTACACAAGCATGTCCTTGAGACTGGCAGCATCAAGTTGCACGTCTTTTAACTCACACAGTTGGTAGTGTCAATAGAGAAATTGATGCTTCAATTTGTAAGTTCAATGACCTTAAAAGTTTCCATCTATTGAAAATAGACTAGTTTGAACTTATTACTCATTTAAAAAATGTCATCAACAAAAAATGTCAACACTATGTTAATCATATTAACTAAGTCATGTTTGAGGAAAAATCATCTATAACAGAACTCAACAATTCAAATGCTCAGACATTAAAATCTATAGTTTTCTCGTACTTGACAAAGTTCTAATCTTTGTTCTCTAGAGTAGCATGACCCACATTAGGTCTATTATTGTGTGGTTGATGTTCTCTAAAGTATCATTCTCTTCTAGTATACTCAAAATCATATCATGCCAAACGTTATCACATTTAGTTTATCACCTTTATTAATGTCAACTATTATAGATTTTGTTACCATGATCTATCAGATTTTAGATATATTTTATTCTCAATCAATGCCTATATATGCACATATACAATTTGCATTAACTCATATTAACGTATATGATAGTTCAACACCAGGCACTGAATCAAAAGTTCACTATATTCCCAATCATTGTCCGCAATCATATTGTTTCACTATCATAAACTTAATTTCATAATGCAAAATCCCATGAGTTCCAAGCGAGAATTACATTAATTCTTTCAGCTTGAGAACTCCCACTCAATTGGTAAATCAAATAGTTTTAGGTAAGATTTTCTCTAAATCTTCCAATCGTCGATCTATCGCCCATCTAATAATCAATAGGTCTAAGTAAGAATCTCACTAATCTATCGACCTTAGAATTAATAACAATTTACGAATTTCATAATATGCAATAAAAGTATAAACATACACGTTTATCTAATTGTGACATATATCATAATATCACAAGTTAATTCCTCTAGAATATAATTCCAATTGTAATCAAATAATAAAACTCATATTATTTAAGTATTATTATGCCACTTTAATATCTAATGCAACACAATCCCAATAAATTGGGAGTGATATTAGAATTCTCATATTCTAGTTCTCATAATAAAAAATAAAAATTTATCCTAAAAATATTACGTGTTCCATTAGGTCATGTTCCATATCCATTTATTAATTTCAATAAGCACATAATTTTTCAACAAGTTTCATAAAGTTTAGTTTGAACTGTATAGGAACAATTATCAATTTTAGCTCAAATGGTTTGTATGGTAACCCTACCTTTTCCGATCCATTCGACGTGTGCAATTTCTTTTCTGTCGATACGATTTTTTTAGTATTCCCTTTAAGAATGCTATAAGTGTGTATAGATTCAATCATATCTGATAAGCACAAAATTTGGAAACAAGTCATAATTGTTCACATAACCTAATCAAAAATTCACACAACTCATGAATATATATAAAACATGGTATTTTAAATACTTTCAAAGTATTTATTATTTTTAGAAAAAATGAGAGCACTTAAAAAGATAATTCCTACTAGACAAATATCATTTAATAAATATTATTGATTTCATAAAAAATTATTTATATCGAAAAATCAAGAATAATTCAAGAACCAATCTGCAATTTTCAAAATTGAAATCGGATCCCACATGCGCCCTTACGTGCAAGATCAATCTGCATTTATTTTTATAAATTAATAAAAAATGGGGCTGCGTCAGCGCCGCCACGTTGTTCTCAAAATTTTATTTTTTTGATTGGTCATTTTGACTAATTTCGATGTTCTAAGTTCATCTATGTGTCAGGTTTTAAAAAAATCAATTTTTAAGACCATCTATGGGACATCAACAGATTCATCTGAGAGTAAAAAATGGCAAAAAATTCATGCAAAATTTTTAGATTTTTTTATCAAATTTCGAGAAGTCATAGCTTCTTCATTTCAAGCCCAAAATTAGTAATCTTTATACCTTCGAATTTTTTTTCGAGAAGACCTATCCAACTATACCAAATGGGAATCATGAAACAAAGCGTATGAGAAGTTATCATGTGATGAAATTTCGGATTTAACCAATTTTCATACAAAAAATTAGATTTTTATCCAAATTTCGGAATGGCATAACTTCTTCATTTTAAGGCCAAAATTAATGATCTATATATCATTAGAAATGTCTCGACAAAATCTATTCAATCATATAATGGTTAGCATACAATGAAATTAATGATCTTTATATCGTTAGAAAGGTCTCGAGAAAATCTATTCAATCATACAAATGGTTAGCATGCAATGAAGTGTAGAAGAAGTTATCATGTGGTGAAATTTTAAATTTAACCAATTTTTATACAAAAAAATCAGATTTTAATCCAAAATTCAAAACCTCATAATTTTTTGTTTTAAATCCAAAACTTAAGTTATCATTGTAACAAAAGCAATAAATTATCAAAAAAAGATGCCATAAAAATTGTATAAGGTTTGAAAATTTTACATACAAAATTTGTAACTCAATTGAATCTTGTAATGGCGTATTTAAGCATGAAAATTGCAAGGAATTCTACCTTAAGGCTTCGATACAAATGTATTAATTCATAGCGTACTTTAACATAAATTTCGGGTCAAGGATCCTTACATGAATGATGAATTTCAAGATCTTTTGAATGGTTGAATTATCTTGCTTTCTAAACATTGAAATCTGTGTTTTCTTATTCTCCAACAGTCTCAATCCCGATCACAATGGAAGAGGATTATAATTCACAATTTAAATGCCTAATATTGGGAGTTTTCATGCCATATATGTGGCTCTAGACACTTTCTAGTTTTGAGCCGTTTTTCATACGAATTTTCATTATTTTCTTCTCCTCTTTTCCATAACTTCAATTAGGAGGTTGCAATGTATTATTTGGAGTTGTAAGGAGTTAGAGAAGTTATGGATTTGAATTCCCTCCTATTCACTTTTGAAATCTTTAGGGCTGGGTCACCCCACATGAACGATCCATGACCCGTATTTTTCGACACCCACCATTAGAATTCTCTACCAGAAATAATATAAAATTAAATTTCCCTCTGGTTGGCTATTCAGATAGTAATTCTCAATTGTAGGAAAAAATCCTGCAGACTCTTGTCGATGAAAAATTATAAATAACAAAATTAACAACGAAGTTTGCCCGAATATAATTGTCACTGAATAAATACTTGAAAGCAATTTACTGACTTTTACATTGAACTTTTTATCTTCTAGCCATCCAATTATTCTATACTACCATATAATTGAAGCATAAGAAATTATTTGTGGAACGAATATAACAATGTGTTCCACATATTTTCGTCCCTAACTAAAAATTGTGGATAAACAGCCTTGAAATATAGGATTGCATCTTGTTTAGTCGAATTGCACTAAAGAAAGTCATGCCAACAGCGACAAAACATCACCAATAAAAAATTTGCGTCACTACAAAAAAAAAAAAAGAAGAAGATATTAATAATAATAATAATAAAAATAATAAAAATGCTTATGCCATATTATTATTATTATAATATTGAAACAGTAAAATAAGGGAGATGCTATATGTACCAAATCATTTACCAAATGGATTACCGAATTGACAAGTGTCACGCCCTTATTGGAGTGGATAGACGCTCCTCTAATAGGGGGCGCCACTTGTCAATTCGGTCAAAAATTAGGTAAGACATTTGATACAAGTAGATTAATTCGTAGAATAATAATTAACTTCAAAACCAATTGTCTGGACGATAATATTTCTAACCAATTTTGATATAATTAGTAAGTGTTCCTTGGTTGATGTCACACAGTCACAGATTCCTTTTCTAAAGCATTGAAAGAAGAGTTTGAATCTCTCTCTCCCCTTTTTATGGTTAGTCCATTCACTACTTAGGAAAAATACACCCTAACTTAGCTTAAATTAAACTTTTATGATGCTGAACTCGATGATAAAATGAAATTTAAAATAGCTTTTATCTTATACTAATCTCTCGATACGAAATCTCCATTTAGAGGAAGATCTTTTCATAATGAATTACCTTCAAAATCGTAACCCTTTGATACACGACATAGATTCATGTGATTGATGGAAGAAATACCAAAACATATCTCAATTCTAAAACTTCTAATATTGCATTGGAGGCAGCTCTAAGCAAATTTTAAATTAATTCAATTTAGATAAAAGATAAATAAAAAGTATAGACTTGTCTTCTTATACAGACAATAAAATCTTAACTGATCAAACTTCAATTTTACAAAAAGTAAATTAAAATATCTCCGTCTAATCCATCCCCGATCCCATCCTTTTTCTGGTTGACATTACAGAATTTTCGAGCAGTGAAGTAAACGTAAAAAATATAAATAAGCAAATAACAAAACTACTTTTTGTTCTGTTCTATCTGGTGGAAGACAATTCCGATGAAGCTACCATGGACTTGTATATCTCATGGATCAATCTGTTGTCGAACTCAGTTCTTGAATAATCCGTGGGAACCAGGCGTACCTTTGGAATTCTCTTTGCACCAAACATATTTCCACTTTTTGATGTTCCTGTGCTTGTAGCCAACTTTAGCATCATGTTCATGTAGGCGTTCTTCAGCTTGAACCATAATTTCAATGGCGAAGCAATTTTCAGGCCAAGCTTTGGGTTTAATCTGAACCTCCATGAACGGGTGGCACCGCCACCAAACCGCATGGTTTTCACATTATTTTTCCTGTTCGTTAAGCGGTTGTATACTCTTCTCCTAAACTGCTGCCTCCTTGATAGGGTTCCATTAAATGGATTAGAAATTGTTTCCATTTTTCTCCCCTTTTTTTTTTTGTGCTGAGAGAGAGAGACTAGAGAGATGATTGATTGAAGGCCAAATGCTACGACTTATATGGGAGAGAAGAAATTGAACATGACAATGGGCGATGTGTATGATTTTAACATAACGTGCCTCTTTTTTTGAACGACATGAAGCCCATGACTCCACAGGTCAGCGGGTCAATAACGCCGGTTTGGAAAATTGATTTATTTGAATAGTTATACACTAACAAGTTCATATCAATGAAAAATTGAACCCCAACCTTAAGGGTTCCCCATGATCCCGCCTCTATAACATCGTGAGAGAGGTTAATCGCGGGTATACCTCATCCGATGAGTTAATAAAAAATGATCATATTCTTATTCTCAACCTGATTTCCATTACTCCTTACAAGGGAATCGATTATGGAAAACAAACAATAAGGGAGTGATTTTCGTAATTCTTGAAAAGTAATAAATGTCTCTGTGTTAGTCACTAGTACGCTAGTTCTTATTTATTTGAAATTTGAAATTTTATTGCATCTTTAAATTTTCATAATGCATGCACTTCAAAATTTTGAGATTGAATTCTCGTATTGCAACAGGAGAAGTGACATTGATGCTTTTAGTGTTTATATTCGTCTAGGGGACTCTAAAAATTTTTTATCGTCACAAACTTTGAGATTGAAAAGATTCTCCTTGATGTAAATGATTTGTTTCTATGTTTAAAATCTTTGAATACGAGTTGTTTTAAAGAAATAATTTATATCCGTTGTATTATGGTTCCCCACTCATTGATTATTGTCACCAACAAATGTATCTTTAGTAGATTAATATAACTTGATACTTGATAGGATTATGGGGCACAATAAATCTTTTTTTTTTTTTTTGGGTTAAATATATAGATTGCATCTAAATATTAAACTTAAAAATACATGTCAAACTTTTAAACAAGAATACAACATTCTATGTTCCAAAATTAAAAAGTATTATTTCATTGATTAATTAATATATCTCTATTAATTAACAACTTTCATATAGTCTCAATATTAATATTTATAGAAGTTATGTATGTTGTATGTTATGTTGC